AAAGGGGAGACACTAGAATGTTTTATGTTGAGCCTTTGGGATGAAATTTTGCAAAAGTTTCATAGAGCAAGTCAAGTTCTGCAAAATGAGGATGTGAACTTAAAAACATGTATGGGTCATTAGCTGACCAACTGCGAACTTTAAGAGATGACTTTGAAAAAAATTGAAGCAATTGGAAAGGAAATACTACCAGATGTTGATTACAATGCAACTCAAACTCGCAAACGTATCAGAAAGAAGGTACCCACTGACGGACATGCACCAGAAGTAAGTCTGAATGCCAGAGATAAATTTCGTATCACCAATTGTTACACAGTTGTTGACAAACTAGAAACTCGTTCATTTTCTCAGTTGAAGCATATTAAAATCCCAAGAGAACAACTATGCGACAAGACGGGCTGGATGCCTTGTCTCTGCTAAGTATAGAAGCAGATTTGTTACGCCACATTTGCAATTAAAAAAAGTAGGAGAAAACTTTTTAAAGTATGAATAAAGTTATAAGTAGGCAACAATAAGCATTATTTTGCATCTTTTGATCCATGTATGTTGAAATGCTCTGTGCGTATTCAAAAGTAGTTAAAATGGGGAGGTAGTTGACATGTCGACATGGTAACAAGTTAATTTTTATCTGCAAATGAAAATGATTTATCAATGCAGTCAAACTTTCATTAAAAAAAAGCCTTTAAAACTTCATTTTTTAATTATTAGTCAGGACGAAAAGGATTATATACACCACAGCCGAAAACAAAAAGAAACTAGAATGCATATAAAATGTTCCCTAAAACTACTATGGCTTTACCTTATAGACTTTTAATGAGATGTATTATAGTCGCAAATACTTTTATGATAAAAATTATCATAATGTCACATGTAGCTTAGTGAGATTATAATTCTTAATTTTTGTAAAATATTGGCTATATTTTCAAATTCACCTTGCTCCTGCCAGATATCTGAACTTTACACTATTCATTATTTTTCCCTTATATCATATTCATTGAATGAGTGGTTAAAGAGTTAAGCTTTAATGCTTAATGTTACTTCCGATATTTTTTTTTCTTTTTTGCAAACAGATTGATTCGTCAGAACATTTGCAAAAATGAATTCATTTTTTTATGTTCCCAAGAGTTAACAATTTGAGCACATTGAATTTTTCTTTTCTATTGAAAAATAGTTTAATTATAACGTGTTAAAAATCATTCATTGAATAAAAATTTACTGAATCAAAGGCTTTTTTAAATAAAATATTAAGTACTTTTAATGTTGTATTTCTTCTGATACAAAATTTACATATCATTACCGATCTGTCTTTTATTTTTGTGTTTAAACTGTTATTGGTTACCTTTAGACTATCACTCGAATTTTGTCCTTGGATTTATGATTCCTAAGAGATTCTTCTACAGTAGTAGATTTGTTTCTTTTTATATTACCAATCTGAAGTTGTTTCTTTCGAGGGGGATGGGGCTGCAGTGCAGGAGTGATTCGTGCTCAGTGTTGGAGGTTAGATCAATGGTTTAATCTTCATAATGTCTTGAATAATCTTATCCGGGTTGATCATTTGCAAATTGTCAGCAATGTGATTTCACCATTCGTTAGGATGAATAACACTTGGTTTGGTGCAGCTGTCTTTGAAAATATTATACACCACATCATTGATAGTGTTTATCACATATTACATATGAACCTACATAAGGTTGTATATTAATCAGTGATGTGGTGCTAAATGTTACAGTGTCGAAGCCCTGCCAAGGTTTGGCAGACGTCTGACGTCACCATCAGTGTAAATATATCATATAGAAAACGTAATTTCCATTTTTGCGAGTTCATTTTAAATAAATAAAATATATTCAACACTAATGATTTGAAACAACTTACATTAGTAACGTTGTAAAATACTTTCAATAATAAACTCCGAAAATATTATAATAAAAGCTATACGTGTGTAAATTTAACTCTTTTTTATTTTATTTTATTATATAAATTATTTCATTTGCTGTTAAGCACATAACTACACAATGGGCTATTTGTGCTGTGTCCTGGAATGGTATATAAACTTACCGTTGAGCCACAAGATTGTTTGTCGAATTTCGCGCAAAGTTATTCGAGACATATCTGCATTAGTAATAGGCAGTTAGTCAACACCACCCACCGCCAACTCTTGGAATACTCTAATCACATAGTGGGATTAATCGTCACGATATAATGACTCTATTGTTGAATGGGCAAGCATGTTCGGTGATGGAATTTGAACTTGTGACCTGCGAATCTTGTACCCTAACCACAAGACATGCCATCCTGTAGCTATAGAAACTAAAATATTATGTCACTTTCCACACATTTTTGTTATTGTTGATACAATTGTATTTTAAATTTTTTACTCGCCTCTCTTGTGATCAATATTTTTTAAAGTGTCTACATCTCTTTTGATAGGATAAATATGCGTTTTTAAAAGCTGGTAAACAATTATTAAGCGTACAAAATTTTTTGTAACAGGAAATACCTCTCACCAGGTGTTTGTTCAACAGTGTTTATTTACATTAGCGCGCATTAATATTTGGCTAGTAGATGGCGTTTCTGAAACAGTCTAATTATCGTTTTCACAAACGTTTTTTGTTCTTGTTGTTGTTTTTTGCGTGAACTTTTAATCGTAATAATTGAATTATCCTAGTGATTCAAGAGAGTGGACTGCTAAAACATAATTTTATTGAGCGATTGTAAAGTCGTTTAAAGGGAAATTGAACAAATGTTATAAAATAAACCCAAAACACCTCTGCGATGATACTGACCTGAATATTTTTCCTATAAAACACAGATATTGCCATTATTTTAATATGCAATAATTGTTTAACACTGGACAAGTAACTTAAAATATGATTACTAAGCGATGGATAAAATACTGAAAACGTAAATTATGGAAAATGACTTTGTGAAGATGTATTGTATACTGATTATATGAATTTCCCTATTTGCCAGAAAAAAAAAATTAAATTCTAGGCTGTAAAATATAAGAAATTAAATGTTTTCTTTGGACAAATTCTGTAGAAATTCCTTTGGTCTAGTAGAGCAAACTGCAATAATTATGTTCGATTTAGCTTCGATGGTTAATAGACTCGTTCAATGACTCAGGATAAGCAACAAAATCTTTGTAGGTTGATAAAACAATACATAACTGTATAGACATAACGTGCAAATAGCAACTGTGAACGGTTATTCTTGTACATAATTTCTCTTGTTAAGGGTCACCATAACGTTTTCCAAGTTCATTTTCGTTCAATGTTTAGTTTTGGGTTAATTTAATAAAAAAGTTCAGGCAACATTTCTATATATATAAAAAAAAATATATCTGATTTGTTATTACAAACTTGTGTCTATTTTGGAAGAGCGCCTTCATTTTCCAATCCGTCGAACTTAGGTTCGAATTTCACTCGTCGATATCATTCTATCCGTTGGTTGAATTTTGAATTATTATTTATTTTTTGATTTAATTCTTCAGATTACCTAGCTTTACACAAACATGTATATCAGGTATATTTATATTACACAACATAATTAGTATTCAGCAACTAGAATAATTAAAACCTAGTTATAATGATCTAAATACCAATATTTTTCTAATTCCGAAAAAGCTTCACGCAGACAAGCCAAACATTTTCTTTCTTTTCTGCTATTCTTAGCGCGAAATCAATTGTTTTCTTTGAATTAAAATATTGCTTATACTATAAGAATACACAAAACGTAATTTTGATGTCGTTATTGACAAAGACGTCCTCCGAATAAGGATCGAATTTTGATTAATAAAGATTGATTACTTTCATATTTCCCAGATTTTCAACAAATACATTAATTCGAGTGCATTATCTGAATAACAATTTATTAGTTTTGTGTTGTTGTTTTTTCATAAAATAAAATATTTGAGCACTTAAAAATCATTTCTTCTGCCAGATAAATTAGCTGGATTATGACATATTAGAAAAAAATCAATGTCACTCTGTGTAAAAATCGAAAAATGTTAGCTTTGTTTATAGAAATATTGATTTCCTTTATATTTGTATTTTTCTGCAAGACAAAGGTGTCATTAGAATCTTTGTTTATATATATATATAAATGACAAATACTCATATAGCAGGTTTACCTTCTCGCTGTGGGAAAATTATCTAAACACATTTTGATAACAGTTTAGAAAAACAACCTTTACACTTCAGATAAATATAAAAGAACATGTTTTTATTTTAACCAACGTTTCGCCTTTTGCGGCTTCATCAGGATTAATATACAGAACTGTTTTTTCTACTATCAAACAGTTGTGTACATTAACCCTGATGAAGCCGCAAAGGCGAAATGTAGGTTAAAATAAAAATATGTTCTTTTATATTTATCTGAAGAGTAAAGGTTGTTTTTCTAAACTGTTATCAAAACGTGTAAATCCCTCCAGTATGCACTACAAATTTCGGAAGACAACTATCTAAAAGCATGTTCTTTTTGTAAAAGACTTTAAGTTGTATATTCTTAAAGCATTATAATGCTTGAATTTTTTCAAGGAAAATTCAAATTTTTAACTTAAACGTATTTAGTCATACAAATAAAAATTCTCTGTAACAATGTTAGTTTCCATTCTTTTTCATTTGTTCTTCTTTTCAATTTTCGTCCATTTCTTTCAAATAACAATTTATATTCTCACAAAATAAAAGCATGCTATTTTAAAATTCAATACTGGAAAACTGTGTATTTTGAGTTGGTTTCAACTTAGTATGTATCTGTTTTAAGAAGCTTACGCAAATAGCAGTGTATATATTTAGTGAATAAATAATACACTAATTGATGCACTATGTCTCGCAAAATGTATAGTTATTTTATCAAAAGTTGAATATTTTCGCACAGTCTAATTATTCTGTAAATAAAATCGTTTGTGACAGTTTGGTCTTCACAACTAATCTTTTGTGTTATAGATGTGAACTTCATTTTCTATAAAAATAACTAAACAAAATAAACAACAAGGAGAACTATTGGATAGAATTCTATTGATTTATTGTAAAGTCTCTGTGACGTAAGTTCAAGAAATATTACAGGTGGTTTCGAAGAACCAGTTGTCACACATTCAAAATGTACAAATATACAACCTATACTAAATACTGGTTTAAAGGCTGTTTGTTCCTTTTTAAACAAGACAAAATATACTAAAACAACGACAAAAACTGTAATGTAAAACATAACACACATAAATGGACGGTACTGACCTGAATTTCATTTTTAAGTAACATAGATGATGCCATTTCTTTGATATATGATTTTCTAATGTTGGAAAGTGGAGTTTAAAATATAATTATTAATCAAAAGATAAAATTATGAAAAATTAAACTATGAAAACGACTTTATACAAGTAGTCCGGCAGTAAGCAAAACGCAGGTACAGCCATTGTGTAACTTTGCGCTTTACACAAGTACTGTTCCATTTATATAAGAATGTCTTTATCCCTTCAGAAAAAAAAAGGATAAAACATAAAATTGTATGCTATAAAACAAAATTAATTTAGTACTCTAATATCATACTTGAACAAACCCATGTGCGGAAGATGTTTTTGAAACTTTGCGGTTAAAAGAAAAAAATATCGATCTAATAAAGCAAACTGAGACGGGTCAAATAGATGTAACTGGACAACTCGTCTTACCCTATAAAAACAGAGGTAGGATATGAAATTTCTGCCCCCCCCCCCCAGTGGCACAGCGGTATGTCTGCGGACTTACAACGCTAGAAACCGGGTTTCGATACCCGTGGTGGGCAGAGCACAGATAGCCCATTGTGTAGCTTTGCGCTTAATTACAAACAAACAAAATGAAAATTTCTGAATAAAAATCATATTTATGTGGTATCAATATAGAGGGCGCAGTAAATGCGTGCGGTTTAGCTTATTTGATTAACAGTCTCACTGGGGGTGAAGAGAAGCGGAAGTTTCTGACCGCCCTGGGATATATTTCATTCCCCTTCGGGGAATGAAATATACTTTTAGCCTAAATTCCTACCATGCTTGGATAGGATTGGATTGAACAACGTAGGTTGTGTAACAGGTCAATGTGGTCTGAAAAAAAAGCAATATTTCAGTTGTAGAGAAAGTGTAGTAAAGAAATACTTTAAACGGTCGTTGTTGTACAAAATTACAATAATTCTGTTTATATTACGGTTAGTGTAACGTTTTCAAAGTTATTTCTGTCAAATGTTTTCAGTTCTTGACTTCTTTTTTTTTTTCGGAGATATTAATCATAAAAGAATATTTCCCACAATATCTATATAAAATAATTGAATTTACACATCAGGGCTACTTAGGAATACAGCTTTTTTCCCGGTCTGCAAAATATTGGTTCTAATTTATCCGATTATATTCTTACGCGTTGATTGGATTTCGATTTTTTAAAGAAAACCTAGCTTAACATAAACACAAATTTTCAAAAATTTCTGATCACCAATTTTATATTATACGATCATCATATCACTTATAACATATTTTCACTAGAATTCTATGTATATGGTTATGGTAATCAGAAACACTATCAACGAGCCCCCAGTGGCTCAGCGGTATGTCTGCGGACTTACATCGCTAGAAACCGGGTTTCGATACCCGTGGTGGGCAGAGTACAGATAGCCCTTGTGTAGCTTTGTGAATAATTAAAAACAAACAAACTATCAATGAATTTTCGCATCATCGAAGCTAACGGATATATTATCCTAAAAGTGGTAAATAAAATTTAAATGGTGATATTAAAACTACCTTATTTACATCACATGTGTGTTCACATATTAAATTGTTGTTTCCATAGGAAATCAATTATTCCATTACATCTTGTGACAGAACCAAGTAAGTTTAGATGCATATACATCTGTATTTATATAGTTACGAAGTACGATAACAAAAGTCAACTTATTTTATAGAAACGTAACTACAATGTTACCACATTTTACTTAAAGATAATGATTGTTCGAACAATTATAGATTTCCAATAATCAATTATGACTGGCAGTCCAAAAGATTAAACCAGCCAAGTAAACACTGTTTATGCCAAAGTTTAACTATTTCGTACTTGTGTTTATTTTAGTATTTCACTCCAATTCGTTGCCATGATCCATATGTCGTCCAATCAACGTGCAGTAATCTGTAGATAAAGTTATCTTTACCATAAAATAGGACAACACCAGTGTTTTGTTTTAAGAGACTAATAATTCATTATCTAGTGACACCAGACAAATAACGCATTATCTAGTGACGTCAGATTGGCTTTTCACTTATCTTAGTCAGTGACGTCAACATTTAACCAATTCGTCAAAAGTTCTGAAGGAGAGTAATACATATTTAACCCAAACTCGATCATTCACGCAACAAAAGTCTGTTTTTTACCACCTTACTATAAGTTATGCCAAAACACTACAGCCGTTATTTTGTTTATTTCCAACTTCTACTTCATTCATGAATTTCAAGCTGTACTATGAAAAGCGTAATTCATTTAATGCCCCTTTTTCGGCCCCTTTCTCTCGTCCTCAAAAAACCAAATAAAAAACTTTCATGTTACATGGCATAACTGATAAGTTTCACAATGGTAGTGTTTAAAGTTCTGAAAAATCAGTTGTTTTACATAACATCTCTTGATGAGTTTGTTCTCTTCTACAATGTAGCTCTAGAGCCTTTCTTTTACTTATTTGTAACACTACAAATGGCTCATCTAAACTTCCCTAACGCTTTGTGTTCATTTGTATTATAGGGGTCCATATTACAAAATATGTTCTCAGATGCTTCGCTGCTCGATTTACTCGAATGGCATTCGTAATTTCTTTATTAATGAGAAGGTGAAAATGTATGTCATAAGACACTTCTTCCTCGTCCTTCTGTCTTGATGTAAAACATTCTTCAAGAACATTCTAGTATTTTTCCAAAATGTGGCTTATCACGCTCTTCCATTACATCCCCAGTTTCTTGCCAACCAATTTTGTTGCTCAAAATACCCCTCATCCACATTACTGATAAGAAACGTATCCGAGACCTCATATAATTTATTTTATCACCCTTTCTAAATAAGCAGCCTTTTAGATAGTAACATCAGGTTTCTTTACAGGCCTTATGGAACTCGAAGACAGTGCTTCATCTGCTGCAGTTCTCGTAGAAGACGAATGAGATTGTCCAATCCCAAAAGGTATCCATCATCAGGTCCATTGTGGACAGTGGTGTCTCCTTTGTAACCTTTGTATGTCGTGTGAGCAAAATCAATCATCCTAACATCAACCGCAGATGTTCCCGAGGATATAGTTGGTGTACAGAGATGTACTGATGTCTTATTCGATGACCACCATGACTGGGACATTGCACTTGTATCATTCGAATCTTTTACATTCTCAAATAAGCTTTCGCAACTCCGACTTCGTAATGGGGCTGAAATCTCTGTGTCACAGAATGAATGCTCTCCTAAAAACTTCAGTTCAAGACTTTCATCACTTATGGGAGAAATACGGTTATAACTTGATATTGCCTCCAATCTGTCTCCAAAGCCATGGCTATTGCCATTATGCCCACAACCCTGGTACAGTAACAACAAAGAACTGGAGTAGAACCGAAAGGAGTGTTGTTTTTCAACAGCTCTGCGCAATTCTTGAAGTTTCTCCAAGACTCTTTCAATGAGTCTCACTTGGAGTTGAATACCGTTGTGAAAAAACTGGTACAAAGCACATTTCAATCCACACTCATCCAACGATCGCCCGTAATATTTGTCTTTCCACACATAGTTTCTGCAGTTAGCTTGATAAACCTACAGGAAGCACTAAAACTTTTTAATAACTTTACAAATTTGATTTTAAATAACAATTAAATATCCAATTTCCATACTGTATTTGTATTGCCCTAGCTGTCAGAATGTTTAAGGTAATTTGACAGTATATTGCAAGAAAACTGAATACGTTATTATTGAGCAAGTTACAAAGATAATTTATACTGAATTTGTATTGTAATAGCAGTAGGAACGTTGTAAAATACTTTAAGACTATTTTGAAGAAAACGTATTACAGATCAAACTATAGAAATAATTAATTTCTTTCATCTTTGATATTTATTCATATAATATTAAGAAATAAGCAAAAAATATTTTGCGCAGAACATTACAATCCGGAGTAAATCAGTGATTCTAAGCTGTCTGTCAGAACATTTCAACTATATGTTTCCTATAAGAATTAGAAATATGATACTGTGTGATAAACTGTAGCCTTTGAAAACACGTGTTTCTAGCCACTATTTTACCGTTCTTCACATAGTTTTTTCTTACGTAACTGTTACAGGATGTTTCTTCTCACATGGTATGAAAACCAGTGATGCTGGCACAAACATTAATAGTACGACCGATTAAATATCTATAGATGTTAACAGTAGTGCTTATATATTATGTCATTTTCTCAGTTTTCCAAGCAGTCAGTAATAATATACAAGAAGAAGAGCACCACTGGGATAGAGTAAGTACACAAATATAACGATTATTCAGATTAACACATACAAACATATGTATTATATATATACACATGTGCCACACACACACACACACACATATAGAAAATATAATATAATTAGTTGTCTACCTGCATTCCACACAGGCGAACGCCGAGAGTAGCAGATGTACTAGCTGCACACTTGGCCATCTGGCGGGACCGCTTGTCATCAGGAGCATCGTCTCCATGTTGACGTGTGCCCATTTTCAAATCTAAGATGCATGGATGACAGAAGTGTGATGCAACATTCTCTAACAGCAAGAAATCTGACACCCGTTAAGCAAAAAGTAAACTAGCTGTCAAATATTTTATTGAATAGGAATATTTCAATCAGAATTTTCGAACTTTTAATAACAAAAGCTAAAATTAATATAACCAAAATGAAGTGTTTACATCTTGTAAAGTCAGGTACACTATCATCTCGTGAAAACAAAGGATACTAAATAAATTAATTAAATTCTTAAAAATAAAACATTTACGCGCACATATATTTAGAGATGTAAATTACTTAATAAAGCTAATAATGACAAACGTAATTTGCATATTTTTGTGTGTGCGTCTGTCGTCAGGTGCTTTTAATTGAAGTTTTCTCATAAAATGCAAATGAGCAAGCTACTTTTGGACTGAATTTTACTGAAAGTGGACAGGGATACAAACAGAAAGCAAACTTTTGATCTCGCTGGAGCCATATACCTGGAATTTAGGACCGGAAGTACAACCAGAAGGAACAATCAATACTACATTGACCAATAAGATTTATAACCACAATGTATTTTTCTTTATGTACGGATCATTAGTCTGTCTTCACCAAGTATGATATACAGCTAAAATACATGGTTTACACACCAAATCAATACATAAAAGACAAAACACGCAAGGGTTCGTGATACATAGAATGTTGTCACACGACAGCAGTAACATTTACAAAAGGTGTATAATTTAAAGAAAAGGTCAAGGTTGGTCAAGTGTGTGAATAAAACGTAGGTGAATCAACTGTTACGCCTTCTTTAATAATTTCTATCGTTTCTAAAAAGTCTCATTATTTTTTATTTTTGGGTTGGTATAGGAGAAATTTTTCATTCCAAAGTATCTTATGAGCTGATACAGACTGACGACTTGTTAAGGCGGATTTCTCACAAACGCGAAGTTTGTCCTGTATATTTCTTACCATATTCACTTGATATAATATTTATATATAACTTGCTTTTGTTCCGTTGTTGTAGGTTAGGTAGTAAGGTGTTTTTCTTGTGTGAAGATTTAAATACAGTTTTACACCAGTGTTTAAGTTACAAAATAAACCCCAGCAATTTCTTTGGACATTTCTGGCATAAAAGGGAACAAAACAACTTAATGTTTTTGGTTACTTGTAAAGGAAAGATTGGAAAGAGCATAAAAAACGTTTTACGTTTCTGAAATTTAATATTTTTTTTGTGTATTTTTTGTGCAGGTACAGCACGGTTTACGAAGGTAAAGTAGAAGAACATTTTTCTCGACAAGTGATTAGATCTTGTGTGAGGCGGTATGGTGACGGCATGGAGTTTTCTATATATACGCTGGTAGTCACTTTACGGTTTTCTTCTTTCACATCTGTAAGATTCTACTTCATAAGTGAAAATTCTGACGTTCAATAACCCCTTTACTACATATATATAGTAACATCGCAGATAAAAGCTTTAAGAATAACCCTTTACGACATCGCAACAGATATACGTGGTTCAGAAACAAACCCTTCACCATAGTAGTGCTGCACAAACAAGTATAGAAACACTTCCTTCACTACACTGACGCCAAGGATATACAATCTTTTGAAATAAACATGACACTACGCATACAATCATGAAACCTTGAGTCTTCGAATAAGTTTACTTAAAGCACTTTTACAGAGGGGTGGGGAGTAGTGGTAAATTAAAACTTCCATAAATATCTTAAGACTCGATAAACAGAACGCGATGGCTTTAAGCCGAGTTTAATACGATTTCACACAAGAGCCCAAAGTAGATGAACCCACAGAATGTAATAACCAGACCTATTGTCAACAGAGGGGATTCCGCTGCTCCTGTAAATGCGGCAGTTTACGATATGGTGCACATCCCCACGAGCTCTAACAGAGACAAAATTCATAAATACACGCTTTTAATATTATATATGATATTTACAAAATTCGTTCCAAAAGCGCATTTGTGTGTGTATGTATGTGTGTTTGTGTTATCGCAAAGCCATATTGGGTTATCTGCTGTGTTCACCGCGGGGAATCGAACCCCGAATCTTTGCGTTATAATTTCCTCAACTTACCGCTGAGCCATTTGTGACAGCGAATTGACAAATTCGGGTATTATCAATTTCATGTATTTGTTTTTATAGTCGATGAAAAGCATAAAAATTATTTTCAACACATTAACGTCTCAACGGGCTTCCAGCTTGTTCCAATTATCGTAAAAAGAATGTAAAAAAAATTAAGTTTTAGATGTTTTTAAAGTGGTCTAACATTTTGAATTCTAATAATTTATGTATTTGCTAATGCCCGAGGGTAACAGCCTTTCCATTTATACACATGATACCATGTATTTATGTAGCTAAGTGATACACTTTATCAGAGTCTATAGCAATTTGTAAGTACCATACATGTCTGGTTAGGTAACTTGAATGAAGGTACCGAATGTTTAAAACTTTACAAGGTCTATACTGATTAACCTTAACAGCTTAAAAATATAACAATCAGCTGATTTTTTGTTGTCAGCACCTCTAGTAAAATAAAGACGAGATTTATCTTTGTTTAACAGAGACAGCCTTGAAAGCCTAATAAAAACATGGCGTCCTCACACGATTTCATCGGGACTAACCTCTGGCTCACATAAAAAAATGAAAATTCAAGAAATTATCTGTTTGTCATGTTGGAACTTCGTATTTCCGCACTAGTCATGCGACATTAAGCTAATAAATACGCCATGGATACGATGAGTTATCGAATCTAAACGTATTTTATAGTATTGAAAAAAGTGGTTCAAACATATCCGAAAATTAACAAACCTTCTGTACCCTGTACACCAACTGTCGCTTAGAATTTCCAAGCAGTTCGATGTAAGGATCTCACGCTATAGCCAGCAGGAGAAATGATTTGTCGCTAAACAGTATCGGATACCTTGAACCATGCCAATACTCTTTGTTATCAAATGAAATTAAAATAGGGACAAAAACATGAATGATGACACATCGGTGTTACTTCTAAGGAAAAGGCTTCACTTTTCAAGTATCTTTTGTTCAATTGTATCTCATCAATAATTTGTTTATTGCGCCAAAAGGAATCAATTGTTTGGTTTTAATTCCATGAAGAACCAAATTAAAACTGACCGTGAATCAATTACAAATCACGAAACAAAACGTTTTCTTTGTGCTGAAATGATTATGAACAGTTAAAAATAAATAAATAAATAAAACTCCTATATCTAAGACAGGCTATGATTGTAGTTTAGTGTATACATATGTATTTGTATATATTTACTCATAGTTTCTATCGTGTGTTACTGACACATACTTCTATTTACAAACAACAACAAAAAAGGATACAACTTTGGCTGGACGATGTATGCTTGTTCTCCTTTAGGAACTGAGACACTGGATCGTTCAGGACCGTGATTTCGTCCTTGTAACTGTAAACTTGTACTCT